CACAACTTACTGGAGTAGAAACTCACAAGCAGAACCCTCTGCATGAACTAGTGTGGGGCAGGAAAACCTGAACTGTAATTGAAGAATTAATTGCTGTAGATTCAGTGTGGACAACTCTGAGAGATAAAAACTCCAAGGGGACACAGTCATAGGGAGGCCCGCACACTTTTGTGAGTTTTACCTCCAGGATCTCTAGCAGGTCCCCACAGCAAATATTGGAGGAAAATCCTTTTCTGCTTCCAGCAAGGAGAAGGGAAAAAAGAACCGTTTTGAAATATGCCAGAGCATTCTGTTCTTCACAAGGCCCTGCACTCAGCAGAAACTATTTCACTAGAGCCTTTTGCCTGTTGGGGTTTTATCAGAGCCTATCACACTTGGGGAAAGGGAAATACTCAACTCTAGCTCCCCCTAGTCTTCCATGTCGGGGAGGAGAAATATCCGACTTCAGCCCCCTTTAGACATGTTATCCCACATAAGGAAGGAAAAACTGAGTTACACTGGTGAAGTTCTCAGTCCAGAGGACAGGCTCACCAAAAGACTGAGATTTAATCATAGTACTATAGAATGCTTCCCCTCCCCCACTACATTACTAAAGTCCTGTTTATCACAATTCCTATAACCCAGCACATCATGTCCACTTTTTGAAAAATTACAAGGCATACTAAAAGGTAATAAAATAAATGAACAAAAACAGTTTGTAGAGACAGAACAAGCACCAAAACCAAAGTCACATATGTATAGCAAAAATGTTGAAATTACCAGACCATGAAATTTTTTAAACTATGAATAATATGCTAAGGGTTCTAATGGAAGAAGTAGATAACATGCAAGAACAGATGGTTAATGTAAGCAGAGAGATGGAAATTCTAGAAAGAATCAAAAAGAAGCACTAACAGAAATGAAGAATGACTTTCAGCTCACTTGGAGACTGGACACTAATCTCTGCACTTATAACAATATCTGAATCTCTGAGCTTGAGGATATAACAATAGAAACACTCCAAACTGAAAAGCAAAGACAAAAAAGACTGAAAACATAGACTATCTGAGAACTGTGAGACAACTACAAAAGGTGTCACATATGTGTGAGAGGAATAGCAGAAAGAGAGGAAAGAGAGAAAGGGACAGAAGAAATATATGAAGCAAAAATGACTGAGAATTTCCCCCAAATTAATGTCAGACTCCAAACCATTGATCTAGGAAGATCAGAGAACACCAAACAAGATAAATGCTTAAAAAAAAAAAANAAACCATTGATCTAGGAAGATCAGAGAACACCAAACAAGATAAATGCTTAAAAAAAAAAAATACACTTAGGCATATTATATTCAAAATTCAGATAATCAAAAATAAAGAAAAAAAAATCTTGAAAGAAGCCAGAGGGAAAGAACACCTTACCTGTAGAGGGGAAAAGATAATAATTACATCATACTTATCCTCAGAAACTGTGCAAAAGTGTTGCTGTGGATTGATTCAATTGTGTCCCCCAAAGTTTATACATTAGAAGCTAAATTCCCACTGTAACTGTTGAGGATAGGAAATCCTATTATGGTAATTGAAAAGTGGGGCCATAAAGAGGTGATTAGATTGTAGGACCGTGCCATAGTGAATGGATTAATAATGGTGGTAAGGGATGTGGTTCTGAGGGCTTTAAAAGGAGAGCACATGAGAGTCTCTGCTCTGCCATTTTCTACCATGTGAGACTCTTGCTGTAAAGCCACCACCAAAGAAGACCTTCACTAGATGTGCTCCCTGAACTTTGAACTTTCCAGCCTCTGAAACTGTAAGGAATAAATTGCATTTTCTTATGAATCACCTGGTTCCATGTATTTTGTTATAAGCAACAGAAATAGACTAATACAAGTGTACTGAAATATTTAAAGTGTTGAGAGAGAAAAAAAATCAACCTAGAATTCTGTACCCTGTGAAATTATTCTTCAAAAGCGAAGGAGAAATAAAAACTTTCTCAGACTAACAGAAAGTTTGTTGCCAGTAGACCTGCTTTCAAGAACTGTTAAGAAAGTCTTCATAGATGGGCTGACTGGTTAACTCACTTGGTTAGAGTGTGGTGTTGGTAACACGAAGATTAAGGGTTCAGATCCCCATACTGGCCAGCCACCAAAAAAAAAAAAAAAAGAAAAAGTTCTTTGGAAAGAATGAAAATGATACAGATTAGAAACTAAAATAAATAAAAACCTTTATTTTTCTTATTCTTAATTTATTTAAGAGATAACCATTTCTTCAAAATAATAATAGCAACAATGTATTCAAATATATATACATATATAGACTTAAATATAAG